CAGCTTTCGCGAAAAAAGCACACGGTCTCCACTCTGACTCCTCCTTCCCTGGCTGGAGAAGCACCGCCCCAACCGCTCTGTCTGATGCGTCAGTTTCCACTCTCATCGGTTTTTGTAAATCCACATGCAGGAGCTGTTGTTCCGAGGCGAAGGCCCTTTTAGTTCCTCAAATGCTTGCTCCGCCTCCTCCGTCCAAGCGAACTTCTTCTTACTGCTGAGACAGTCCGTAATGGGCGCCGTCAGGTGGGCAAAGTTTGGGATGAACTTACGATAGAAGTTCCCAAACCCTAAAAACCTCTGCACATCCTTCCTTGTTTTGGGTGTTTTCCATTCCAGTACCGCCTGGACCTTGCCGGGATCCATGGCCAGCCCCTTGTCAGACAGGCGATACCCCAGGAATTCCACCTCCTTGGTATGAAACTGACACTTCTCCAGTTTCACCCACAGCTGGTTGGCTTGCAGCCTGCTCAACACTTCTCTGACGTCTCTCACATGCTGCTCCTCATTCTCAGAATACACCAACACGTCGTCTAAGAAGGCCACACAATTCTTGTAAAGCAACGGCCCCAGGACGTGGTTCATAAACGATTGAAATGTTGCGGAGCCTGCTTGTAGACCGAAGGGCATAACTAAGTATTCAAATGCCCCTAAAGGGGTGAACATGGTGGTTTTCCATTCATCCCCCTTCCTTATTCGTATCAGGTTGTACGCCCCCTTAGATCCAGCTTGGTGAAAATCTTTCCCTTTCGCACCCTTGTCAAAATGTCGTCAATCCTGGGCATCGGGAAGGCCACTGGTTCTGACACTGCATTTAAGGCCCTGAAGTCACACACCAGTCTCGGCTTGTTCGTGTTTTTGTCCACAAAAACACTGGGCTGCCCCCACCGCCCTGGACTCTCTGATGAACCCTCTCTTCAGGTTCTTGTCAATGAACTCTCTTAGCTCCTGCATCTCTGTCTGACATGGCGTACAGCTTGCCCACAGGGAGCTGTGCCCCAGGAGCAAATTGATTTGACAGTCAAAGGCTCTATGCGGTGGTAGTTGGTCAGCTTCCCTTCGCTGAAGACGTCGCGGAGATCTGCGTATTGTCGTGGTACCTTCACGTTCTCCTTCACTTCAGTCCCTGCTAGGGTGGCTTGGGCCCCTGCCAAAACCTTTCCCTCTTTGCAATGTTCTAAGCAATGTGCTGACCCAAAAGAAACCACTCTCTGATGCCAGCCCACCAGCGGATCATGTAACGCTAGCCAGCTCATCCCCAATATAATGGGAGCTCCTCCCAAGGTGGCCACATTAAAAGCTATCAGTTCAGTGTGCCTTGCCACCTTCATTATCATTAGGACGGTCTGCAAGCTGACTTCTCCTCCCAACAGCTCCCTGCCATCGATCGTGGTTACCTGCAGGGGTTGCTTAAAGGGAGCGTCTGTATCTGGTGTTCAGCTGCAAACTCTTTGCTCATGAAATTGCAGGAGCTGCCTGAGTCCAACAGCGCCTTTATCTTTAGAGGGTGTCCGTTTGGGAGCTCTAGTGTCACTTCTATCACTAGGGCGGGTTTAGGAGGTTCTGGAGTGGGCACTTTCACTGCTCTTTGGCCTGGCTGCTGTGCCCCGACAATGGCAGCCAGGCGTTGGCTTTTAGTTGCTCCGGTATTTTTTCCTCTCTTCCCTCCACAGCTCCCACCATCCCTTGCCATTCCTTCCTCTGGGGGCAGACTCTGGCAAAGTGCCCTGGCTGTTGGCAGAGATAGCATTTCCGGGCGCCTTTTCCATCCTTCTTTCCCCCCTCACTGGGCTTTGAAACTGCGCGCGCGCGCGCTGTTCCGATTTCCATCGGCTCTGCCGGCGGGACAGTTGGCTCTGGAATGTCTGGAATGCGGAACTCCTTCCAACGTTCCCCTTTCCCTTCCCGCCTCTCCAATGCTCTCGCCTCCTGGCGCGCTCCTATGGCCAGCGCTGATTTGGTCAGCTGGTCCATAGACTCCGCCCTGGGCGCCCGGGAAAGTTCATCTTTCACAGCCGAAGAAAGCCCTTCTTCAAAGAGCATTTGAATGGGTTCCGCCGATAAGTCCCACCCCAATCTGTGTATCAGCATGGTGAACTCAGTCCAGTACTCACGTACAGATCGGCTCCCCTGTTTGCAAGCCATTAACTGTCTGCGCACCACTCCCTTTTCAATATCGCTGGAAAACATCAGATCCATGGCGCGAAAGAACTTCATCGTGTCTTTTAAGACGTCACTATTCGCTGCCATCAGGGGTCTAACCCAGTCTCTCGCCCCTTTTCAAGATGCCCAATCACAAAAGCCACTCGTGATTCCTCATCAGGGAAATCATCAAACTGCAGATTGAGGGCATATTGCATTTCTGTCCGAAAGCTTTGATAGTCTTTGGGCTCCCGCGCAATTTTTTGCTCCTTGCGTGGTTCCTTTCTGGCGAGCTGGGTGGCTTTCTCCCTTTGGTCTGCATCTTGAGCCCTCCTCTCCTCCAGCCTCGCCGTCTGCAGCGCCAGCTGGACCTCCAACACTCGGTACCTTTCTTCCAGGCTTGGACCCGCTCCAGCCCCTGCTTCTCCGGTTCCTGCTGGGTTGCTCATTATGCCGTCTCCTGCACAAGCTGCGTTCAAAGACTGTCGGAATGCTGTGATGGGATTATGAGCTGCTTGTGCGTAAAATCGTATTCCCTCAGAGTTTGTTCAAGTCCACAAACCTCTGTCTGTGACTGAGCCCCTCTGACATGGCTCCTCTTAGTCACTAGAAGATTCCGACAGTGGTTGCTTTCGTAATCGCTTCCAACATAAAAGCTCCTTAACGGAAACACGTCTTCTGGACTCTCTGCGTGACAGTTTCCGGCGAGGAGTGGGTGTCGCTACAGGAGGTCCGGAAGCCTCACCACTGTTTTCGCTGGAAGTATCTCTGAGCCATCCCCCCCAGCTCCCTTCCCTCAGTTCAGCTTCTCTCCCCCTGCTGGTTTCCTCTTCAGCTGCTAAGTCTCTTCCAACCTGTCTGAGCCCTTTCACCTCCCTCAGTTCAGCTTCTCTCCCCCTGCTGGTTTCCTCTTCAGCTGCTAAGTCTCTTCCAACCTGTCTGAGTCCTTTCACCTCCCTTCCTACCGATGGCAGTTCCCTGACAGGTGGGTAAGTGGCTGAAACTGCCACTGCTCACTCTCAGGTGTGTGCACAGGTTAATAGTACACCTGATCCCTTGAATGCTTGAGATTCATATTGCTGAGCCTGTTTTTTCAACCAAGTCAGTTCAGGCTTGACTTGACGGCCTTATTACCAACTATGTAGACTAAGTGAGAATCTTTCCTTTCATGATTAGAATTTTGCAGCGTGGCGGCAAGAGCAAACACCACTACAGCTATCAGGTAGACATCAAAGGCCTGTTTCTTAGTTTGATGTTCAGCTTGCCAAGGCCTTTTTTCTCAGCGGGTCAAAATCTTCTTTTGTTCTTTTGAACACTTTGGGAATTACAGGAGATGCCAGTGACACCCACTGATGAGGGCACCAGCTCCCAACTGCGGCTCTTACCTGAAGCAGAACTCAGCGATGGCTCTGAGAAACCATCAAGCTTTCCATATCTTGTGAAACTGCACAATGCCCTTTTATGCCAGACAATGGGACCTAATCGGTGGGGATTTTTAAAATATTATTATTAAAAAAAAAAAAAAAAGCCTTAAGACACGTTTTAAATAGTGGTGAGTTTCTTTCTCACTCCCTCTTTCAAGAGTTCATTATTTTATTTTATTTTAATTTCTTCCTGACAGTGTATGAGCATAGGGGGTCGGGGGGACATGCACTGTACCAGCACACAAAAGAATAAAGTCAGACAGGCAGCCTCAAGTGGTCATTTAAATAACGCTTGTGAATCATTGCCAGTAAAGGCCATGCGACAACTCAGCTGCTCTATTCATTGCTCTGTTGTGTTTGAAAGTCAGGAATTGGGATTTCAGGGTCATTGGGGCTGGGGAAATACTCACCAAACCTCTGGGGTTACTGACGTGAGGAGATTGTCAGAACTCAAGGCTGCTGGGGCCACTGATCTGGACCCATTCCAGTCAATGTTTGGCTTGATTTATGAATCACTTCACACTGGAGCCCCGAAGTGATTTACAGGGATGATAATATAAAAAATATAATGTGCGATAACATACTTAACACAGTGTACGATAAAAATCCAATGAAAGAAAACGAATTTACTGAAAGCGTTCCTCCACAGATGTTGCCCAGCAACATAAAATAACCTCCCCCATGAATAAAAATAATTTAAAAACAGACAGTTGGTGTCTTCCAAATGCCCAGGAGAATAAAAAATGTGTTTGTCAGAAAGGGGACAAAGCTGGAATCAGGAAAGCCTCCTTGGGGAGAGCATTCCCCAGTTGCTGGTTAGGGAGACCACAGGAAAGGCCTATTATTTTGATGTCACCCTGTGTACATCTCATGTTGCCCGTGGTTTTGGAAGATGCCCTTGTGGATACTGATTTGAGCTCTCCTAGGGAAGACCAGATGGGGGAGCAGGGTCACTTTAATTGCTGCAGTTTGCTAACAAACCTCATTAGAGCAACACACAGTCCTCAGAGTTCATATGCAATGCAGAATTGTGCAATGCAGGAATCTCAGCTGTGGTGCTTCTGCAATGCTACTTCATTCTTGCAGTCCAGAGGGGCTGTATTGGTTGTTGCAAAATATTATGTTCTAACTTCTATAGTAATTTCTGGTTTAAAAGCAATATGTAAATTTATTTTATAAATAACAATGTCAAAATAGGGTTTGGGTAATAATTATAAATCCAGTTTCAAATATCAGAAATTTGATGTGTTCTGGCTATGGTGTGTTCTGGCTATGATGAAACAAGGAACATTGTTATAAACTACTTTTTTCCCTGGCCTAATAATTGGGTGCCAAAAATGGGGTTGGGCAGAGCGATTTAATCAGTGGATCTAGATTCAGGTAGGTAGCCGTGTTGGTCTGACACAGTCGAAATATATAAAAAATTTGTCCAGTAGCACCTTAGAGACCAGCTAAGTTTGTTCTGGGTATAAGCTTTCGTGTGTGTATCTGAAGAAGTATGCATGCACACGAAAGCTTATACCCAGAACAAACTTAGTTGGTCTCTAAGGTGCTACTGGACAATATATATATATATATATATATATATATATATATATATATATATATATAAATAAAATCAGTGGAAATGAATACAAAAACTGTATGAATGTCGAGTTTACATTCTGTGGAAGCTAAATTTGTGATTAACAATAAAACCTTTTCCTATAACAGGAAAGTGTGGCTAACTCTCCCCCACCCCCATTCCCAAGCTGGGATTGCATAAATTGAGGTTGCATTCATATACTCACCTGAGAGTAAGACCCATTGAATTCATCGGGGATAACTTCTGAGCTTTGGTTTTGCATTGTATGTCATCAGCTCTTTATTCTAATAATCTGTTATTAATCCTTTCATTCAAGGCAGTGTAACTAAAGATGACAGATGTAAAAACTTGCATTTCCCATCCCAGTGAAGTGTGAGAAATATTTGGGAACAGAAAAATATAGCCTTTTGCTAAATCTAGTGACAGTGCCTAACTTTGTGATGAAAACACATTATTGTGAATGTCAGTGCACTGGGAATTGTTTAGACAGGCTGCAAAGATGATTGCTAAAGAAATATCAAAAGCAATAAAATGCAGAGCAATAATCTTGCATTGTTTTGTTATAATTTGACGATGTTATGGTTGTTGCTATATCCGCTTCACATAGGACTCACATTTAATGCGACAGGTGATTCTTCAGCAAGAATTCCAGGGGGAGAAGGGAGCTTTGGATATTTATACATCCTGCCCCTATTTACCAGAGGTCAAGTAGCTTGGCTACTACAACATGTAGCTAAATTTACAGAAGCTGGTCAAAACAAGTGCATTTTGCTTACCAGTCGCATGGGGGATTAGCAAACCGAAGCAATTAAAATTCAAGATTAAGAGGAACATGAACTTCTGAAGTGGTCCCTGCCTAATTTGTAATGCAACTATGGCAACAACTGTTGAAACGCCGATCTGTTCCTTTTAATGCACGGAGGTTCCCCTGTTGATGAAATCAATACTGTTCTTGCCACGTTGTGTGGGCTGATGAGGGCACACAACACAGCAACCTTGCTGAAGTTAAGTCGATCTGCATCTGGGAGTGAGTGCCTCAGTGGGGGAGAACTTTGGGGCACCCTTATGTCCACTGAGTTCCACATTGGAAGAAATGCGGGATATGAATAAATAATAAATAAATAAATATATAATGCCAGTATGATGACTACAGTTACTCCATGCATAAACTGAAGAGGGGAAGAAAATAGATTACATCCACATTTGTAATACTATGTAGATACCTGGCCATTCTTTCTCAAAAAGGGTACAGTGGAACCTTGGTTTTCCAGTGTCATGAAAACCTAATGTTTTCGTTTTCGAATGCTGGAAACCTGGAAGTAATTGCTTCGATTTTCAAACGCGCCTCGGAAGTCGAACGGCTTCCAAGGCATGTTTCTCCATTGAAATTGTTGACCACCCCTTGCGCCTCGGCTGTCAAACGTTTCAGAAGTCGAATGGTCTTCCGGAACGGATTATGTTTGACGACTGAGGTTCCACTGTATTGGAGAGCTGCAAAAGACACAAAAATGGAAAAGGAAAGGGGGACAGTCAAAACGGGTTTGCGTGTCGAGGTCCCCCAAGCCACCCCTAAATAATTCACAATTCACACATAATTTTTGCTTAAGGTTTTTGGCATAATTTTGGCCACAACTTTATTAAAATACATAAATGTGAGTGGTTGCTTAGGCATTGGTTATGACTTTCTGTCCCCACGCCCAGGGACAGAACTGACTTCCAGATTCCAGCAAAAGCCAGTAAGGGAAAACAATATTGAGAGCATGGAGCTGGGCACCAGACTCTCATCCCCCTCAATGCTCCTGGGGGCTTGCACGGCCCTAAGCCCCATTCAGGGGTAGGGACGAAAGAATGGCAAGACCCTGGATTCCTTTAACAGAATTCCCTTTCCGCAGCAGCATTGGAGGGGCAGGCACTGCCAATCCTTACCCCTCCACCAACCAATTTTTTAACCAATGCCTAACCTCAACCTTACAAGTTGTGACAATTTGCTACGCAGTAGGCAAAAACCAAATGGCACCAGCCAGTCAGCCAAATGGACAAAATTTCTACCAGGCCCCTGCCCCAAAAGCAGATGACCCCATGACAGGCATAGCAAGGTCAACGCAATAGCCCTAGATTAGGGAGGGTGGGCGGGTGATCCCAGTCAGTGTTGTGTGACTTGATTTTATAACCTTTATAACACCAAAATTTGCCCAGTAACCCAACTGCCCAATCACTGTGGATGGTCATCCATACTAACCCTCCCAGCAACAGAGGGGTGGCCTGTCAGACCCCACTGCAACACGTGCTCTCTATGAAAGAGAACACGCTTTGCAGCACTTCCCCTGTGAGAAAAGGTTCAAAGATCTGCAGCTTTTCCATATGCAGATAAAAAGATGACTGGGAGATGGGAGGGATGAGAGGTTTATAAAATTATTCATGGTGTGGGAAAAGTGTGTGGAGACACTCCCCCCCCAATAACTCTATAATTTCGGGTCCTCCAATGAAATTGATTGTCAGTACAGTCAGGATAGACAAAAGAGTAAACTTATTTACACAAAGTGCTTGTGGAATTCATTGTATGTTTTGATGCTGGTGGGTTTAATTACTTTGTTGTTGTTGTTTTTTTTTAAAAAAATTTATTAACAAATTCCACATAACAAATCATCAAAACATATCATATTCATTATTCCCCCCTTTCCCCCACCCCTTCAACACCCCCCTGAGAATTCCCTCAGCTCCTCTCTCTGATTTCTCAGCCCATATTATTCTCTGCATGTTATAAAATTATACATGTCCTTACATTACCTATCTATCATGTTATCTACTAATTAATTTGTGTATGTTTATTCAAAACCTGCCAAGGAGTCCAATTCATTTTGTTGTCTTTTTAGATAACCTTGTAAAAAGCTCCCATTCTTTCTTAAAGTCAGTTGTCCTTGTCCTGCATTTTGTATGTCACTTTAGCCAACTCTGCGTAGCTCACCAATTTTTCTTGCCACTGTTCTTTCGTTGGGATTTCCTCATTCTTCCATCCTTGTGCTATCAAGACTCTTGCCGCTGTTGTAGCATACATAAATAAGTTCTTTGTTTTTCTCAGCAGGTCTTGTCCTACAATCCCTAACAAAAATGCTTCTGGTTTTTTTTGTTTTTTTTTACAAATGTCATTTTAAACATTTTTTTCAATTCATTATATATCATTTCCCAATTTTTTTAAACTTCTCTACTTTCCCACCACATATGATAAAAAGTTCCTTCTTTTTCTTTGCATTTCCAACATGTGTTTGACCCAGGGGTTTAATTACTTTGAAAGGTAAATGGAAAACACACAGAGGAGTGGTCTATCAGTGACTGCTAGCCATGGTGCTTATAAGTTCCTCTCACACTCAGAGGCAGTATGTTTCTGACAGCAGTTGCTGAGGACCGACATCAGGAGTGGGCTGTTGCCTTCATGTTTTGCAAGTTGACGACTGTGGGGTTGCAAGAAGGTGAACTAGATTAACCATTTGTCTGATCCATCAGGGTTGCTCTCGTGTTCTTACGAAATGGAGAAAGAAATGTGTGTGTGTGGCATAATTGTGAATTTGGCAGCAAATCACTCTCTTGGACAATTTGATTAAAGACACATATGTCTTCTGAAACTCTCGTTTTTTTACTTTGTATGTTTAATACAGCTCAACCCTAAGCACACATTTTTGAATTCCTTCAATTTCATAGCACAGTGGCACTTCTAAATAAGTAGGTTTGGATTTCTTCAGCATTCTTGATTTGTAAGGGTGTATTAAACTAAGAAATTTGTTATATATACAAAAAAGCAAACAAACCTGTTCTCGGAAGACCATTTCTTACAGAGCATTCCCCCCCCCTTAAAGCTATAAAAGAGCAACGTTATTTTGCTCTTGTGTGGCAGTGCTGAACGTTGAAGAGAGCAGAATGTTCTGTTATTCCACCCCTGCAGGGAGAATGACATTTCAAGTGAGGGTTCTGAAGGACCCCATATCTCATCAGTTCTTTTTTTGTCTTTGGAGAAAGTGAGCTGTGTGGCTTGCCTCTCTGCCTAGTGACACACAAAAAGGGAACAAAGGGTAGAGAAAACTTTGCGCATTGAGATTTGAATGAGATTCATCTGTGTGTGTCTCTCTCTGTGTGATTGTTCACACAACTCCGAGTGTTAAGCAGCACATTCCTAATACTCAAAGCCTATCGACAGATGACAAAGGCTGGATTTATTGAAAGTATCTCTCTCTCTTTTATTCAGCACCTGTTACAGCAGCAAAATTGGGCAGATGCTTTGAAGGCATGGGGACCTGTAGCTTCTCTCTATTCCACAATGTCCCCTCTGTCATTTGGCACAACGCAGAGGATTTTGCATCATTTCTGCATCCTGTGCTCACACAGGGTGTACTCAATGATATTCTCAATTATGGATGTGTTGATGCATTGCTTCCTGTAGCCCTGATTGCAAATATGCGAGTAGAATAGTCTGTTCATAAAATGAAAAAGATAAATAAAATATATTGCTACATTTTCATGTGAGGTGCAGTTGGCATGCACGACCATTGAGAAACCGTTTATTTAGATGGGGAGGTCAGTAATTGAATTTTGGAGAAAAGCTGTTAGCTTTTCTAAATATATATAATGAGAACAGGATGATTTTGCTGTTTTTGAGGTACAAGGCAGAAAGCGAATATGAAAATGTGAGCTGATACCACATTTTATCTATTTGTTTTTGCCAAACAGCTACATTTTGTGAACGTTTCGAGTTTCAGAATTAATCTTGGTACCCAAAAGCATAAACAATGATTGCAACCAGAGCTCTCTGCTATTCTCCAACCAATTTTGCTTCCTATCGTGATGCTGTTAATGTCTTTCCTGCCACTCCTGGGCTTCTAGTTTTTGGGGTGGGGAAGTACAACCAATGCTCCTATCACAATAACATTATTCAGTGGTTTTGCTTAAGGGATGCCCACTTTCAGGACAGCATCCT